GTGCGGGGGACAGAGTGATTTCTATTGCTGAAGCTGGCCATGTGAAACAACTGGGAATACTTACTGGAAGCCTTCCTCCTCTTGGGATTTCATAACTGTAACAGCTAACTACTCTCGAGTTAGCCTGAGAAATCCCAATTCCGTTAAACAAGCAAGAGCTGCATGTAGTAATTGGTGTCACCCCCTAAAAATCTTTTTCACAGATCCTTGCAAAAAAGCCCGTCAATGGCAGTCGGGATATTGGTGGAGAATCAGGCTTTACCAAGAAAACTATGATAATGGGCTATCATTTATGATAAAACTGTTTGATCGTCCTCTACAGAGTACAGTAATAGGACCTAACCCTGTGCTGGCAGGGCTCTCCCCAGCTAAGAAATCGCCTCCTGTCCCACCCCAGAGCCAACCCATCTTAACTTCACTCACACCACCAAAGGGGTTAAAGAAACAACCTGCCTCTACAAGGGACCATCTCCTCAATCTAATTAAAGGAGCTTTTAGTGCCCTAATACCAACCCCCAAATCACTGATTCTTGTTGGCTATGTTTAGCCACCAACCCGCCTTACTATGAAGGTATCGCAATGGCAGGAACATATAAAAACTCCACTGAACATAATAACTGCACTTGGGACACTGAGACAAAGTTAACTCTAACTGAAGTTTCAGGAACTGGAACTTGTATTGGGAACCCTCCTAGCAAACTCCGTTCATTATGGGATACTTAGTTCCCAATACCGGATATTGGTGGGCCTGCAATACTGGATTAACCCCGTGTGTCTCTTTAGCAGTTTTTTATTCTAACTCTGATTACTGTGTATTAATTTATCTGATGCCCTGGTTATACTATCACCCTGATGATGAATTTGTTAATGAATTTGATCATGCACCTGAGCACCATTTTCGCAGAGAACCTATTACTATGACCCTAGCAGTCTTATTAGGAATAGGAGGAATAGCTGCAGGAATAGGTACAGGGACTTCTGCACTTGTCTATGGGCAAAAACAATACCATAAGGTAAAAACAGCCATAGATGAGGATCTTCGGGCTTTAGAGTCATCAATTACTCGACTAAAAGAATCCCTAACCACCTTATCTGAGGTAACCTTACAGAATAGGAGAGGACTAGACTTATTGTTCCTCAAAGACGGGGGGTCTCTGTGCCGAGCTAAAAGAAGAATGTTGCTTTTATATTGACCATTCAGGAGTAATAGAAGACTCCATGCAAAAGCTTAGGGAAAGGTTAGACAAAAGAAAACAAGACCGAGAATCTCAGCAAACATGGTTCGATAGCTTATTTTATAAATCCCCATGGTTAACTACTCTTGTATCTACCCTTATAAGTCCTTTAATATTCTTGTTTATATTGTTACTAGTTGGGCCTTGTATTATAAATAAGCTTGTTACCTTTGTTAAAGATCGCATCAGTACTGTTCAATTAATGGTTCTAAGACAACAATATCAAAATATGAGAGAACCTGACTGCAATAATACTGCCTCCAGAGATTCTTGGTTCTATGATTAGAACCTTGTACTAAAAGAAGTGGGGCTTTCTGCTGGAGAACGCTGCTGAGGAAGCATCGCAAAAGAGTATATTCCCACCGCCGCCATGTCGAAGTCAGAGTCTCCTAAAGAGCCACTTCAAGACGACGGATGAAAGTATGAGGAGCCATTTTGAGCAATGGGGGACGCTCATGGACTGTGTGGTAATGAGAAATCCAAATACCAAGCGCTCCAGAGGCTTTGGCTTTGTCACATACTCAACTGTGGAAGAGGTGGATGCAGCCATGAATGCAAGGCCCCACAAGGTAGATGGAAGGGTGGTGGAAGCCAAGAGGGCTGTCTCCAGAGAAGATTCTCAAAGACCAGGTGCCCACTTAACTGTGAAAAAGATCTTTGTTGGTGGAATTAAAGAAGACACTGAAGAACATCACTTAAGAGATTATTTTGAGCAGTACGGGAAAATTGAAGTGATTGAAATCATGACTGAGCGAGGCAGTGGCAAGAAAAGGGGCTTTGCTTTTGTAACTTTTGATGACCATGATTCTGTAGATAAAATCGTTATTCAGAAATACCATACTGTGAATGGTCACAATTGTGAAGTGAGGAAAGCCCTGTCAAAGCAAGAGATGGCCAGTGCCTCTTCCAGCCAGAGAGCTCGAAGTGGTTCTGGAAACTTTGGTGGTGGCCGTGGAGGTGGTTTTGGTGGGAATTACAACTTTGGTCGAGGAGGAAACTTCAGTGGATGAGGTGGCTTTGGTGGCAGTCGTGGCGGTGGAGGATATGGAGGCAGTGGAGATGGTTATAATGGATTTGGTAATGATGGAAGCAACTTTGGAGGTGGTGGAAACTACAATGATTTTGGCAATGACAACAATCAATCTTCAAATTTTGGACCCATGAAGGGAGGAAATTTTGGAGGCAGAAGCTCTGGCCCTTACGGTGGTGGTGGCCAATATTTTGCCAAACCACGAAACCAAGGTGGCTATGGTGGTTCAAGTAGCAGCAGCAGCTATGGCAGTGGCAGACGGTTTTAGTAACTGCCAGGAAACAAAGCTTAGCAGGAGAGGCGAGTCAGAGAAGTGACAGGGAAGTTACAGGTTACAACAGATTTGTGAACTCAGCCAAACACAGTGGTGGCAGGGCCTAGCTGCTACAAAGAAGACATGTTTTAGACAATACTCATGTGTATGGGCAAAAAAACTCAAGGACTGTATTTGTGACTAATTGTATAACAGGTTATTTTAGTTTCTGTTCTGTGGAAAGTGTAAAGCATTCCAAAAACAAGGGTTTAAATGTAGATTTTTTTTTTTTACACCCATGCTGTTGATTGCTAAATGTAATAGTCTGATCATGACACTGAATAAATGTCTTTTTTTAAATGTGCTGTGTAAAGTTAGTCTACTCTGAAGCCATCTTATTTCAATAAATAACCCAACAGTGTTGACGTTTAGAATTCATTCAGGATGATGCCAGATTTCATTAAAAATTTAGAAGACTGTTTGGGAACAGAAAAGCCATTGTCTACAGAAAATTTGGTGTAGTTGAACTGACAAGTTAATGTGTTGTGACCTGAAGTTCCCCATTAAAATGGTCACCCAAGCAAAGTTAAACGCAATTTATTTGGTTTTTAAATGGTCGTTGGCACATCCTATGCAATATATCTAAATTTAATAATGGTACCAGATGCAAAAATAATAGATGGGATTGAAATTGATGTATCATCCATTATCATGTATAATCAAGAAATGATTTAATATCTTGGGGGAAAAAAAAGAAGTGGGGAATGAAAGGAAAATTTTTTAAACAATGTCCCCACACCCAAGTACTGTAAGAACCTATACCTTTGATCTTGTGTGAATGTTTGTGTTCCAGGAACTAGCTGACCACAAACTGAAAAAAACAATTACTGGCAAAAACCATATTTTAACTAACGTCAGCAGCAGGTAACTGACCTAAAATTGAACTTCTCCTTTTCCAAAGAGCCAATGAGCTAATTCCACGCCAAAGAACCCCTAGACATTGTATAAATTCCCTTGCTTTTTTGGGCTCGGAGTCGACTTCCCTGTCTCCTGTGTGAGATACAAGTCGCCCCAAAGCTTCGTCAATAAAGCCTCTTGTGATTGCAGCGAGTAGATCTGGTGTGAGTTGCTCGGGGTCGCGCCCGGTCTGGGAAAAGCCCTAGTTTGGGGTCTTTCAGCACAGGATAGAGCAAGGTTTAAGGCTGTTGTACATGGGGTCACAGGCGACTTGACAACACATAACAACAACATCTAATTTGCTTGACAAACTCCCACCTTAAACACAATAAAATAATATTGAAATCAAAACAAACCTCCATGGGATATAATTTTACTGTGACTCACATGGAGTCCCATTGATTAGAAGTAGACACCAAGATAAATGATTTTGGTATCAGCCATGGCTCAGCAGAGAGATCTAGATTAACCTTTGCCCAGAAGATGTAATGCAGGACTGAGAGCAGGAAGGCCAGAGTCCTCAGGCTTAGCTGTGGAGGACTGAGCATTTTGTTATCACAAGCACCAAGCCAACCTCAGCTATCTTGAGTCAGAGAAAGGACATTGGCCTCTTGGCTGGAGGTTGCGCAACACAGGGAAACCAAAGGACAGATTTAGTGTCTGCAAACCTTGTGAAGTATAATCAGATGAGGAGAGGCCCTAACTACAGCCAGATTAGCCCATCTTGTCTAGAGTATCTGCTTGGCAATAAACAACTCAAGGAAGTAGGATGTTAATGAATAAGAATGACCAAAGGTCTCAGACCTTAGGGAATGCAGTGTCCTTATCAACCAAAACCATTTGTTCCTTAGAGTACACAATAAGGTATTCTGGAAAACATCTTTGTATTGTGCTGCGGTCTGTGAGAGTTAATGTTTGACCAGACAGTCAACATCTCTGGTCGGAAAGAGATAATGCTATTGTTACAGCAGATGTGCTACTAAAACCTATATAGGCTTTTTCTGAAAAATAAAATGTTACTATTCACCATCAGCGGTAGCCTCTCTGCAACTTCATTTAATCCTTGTCCCTTCTCTCGGCAGAACTGTTCGATTTAACGGGGCAGGACTAAATTAGTAAGTAATCTTGAGGGAGATCTCAAGGGCGAGAGCATGCCTGCCAGGATGTGCTTTCCCAGTATCTGCAGGAGTCATGTCAGGAGATTCTCCTTTTTGGGAAGCTCTGAGCTGGCATTCATACTAGCAGGCAGATAAATGGTGTTAGACTTTCAATCTGACTAAGTCACTAGTGGTCAGAAGCATCTGACTGTGACATACATACTTCCTTACTCTTTCCAACATGCATCCTTATCCTGCAGCAGTTAAACTCTCAGATAAGGAGGAACAACATGGGGACACTTTAAGTGTCTCACGACAACCACAGGTCTTTCTGCAGCAAAATTATTGGGAACAGGACACTCAACACCCTGCCAGTTACCCAGGAAGCCCCCTAGAGCTCAGGAGGAATACTTGGGACACTTTAAATGCTCCTCCACATCCCATTTCCCCTTCAGTTTGGCCTCCTCATTTCCCCAGGATCTTGTGGCTCTAGGTTCATCTTCTTTTCATAGTCCAGAGGCAGGCCCAAGACAACTTGGAGGATCAGGAGAAAATGGAAAATGAGAAGAGAGACTGAGCCCTGAATCCCAGATGCTGCTATGTCCACTATCTCAAGCAAAAAAGAGAAAAATGTGTGTATGAGAGAGAAAAAAAACTATCTTTGTGTAGAGATCTCTGTGGGTCAAAGATCCACTATGGAGTCAACGTCCCGCATCACCGAGTTCAGAGATCTTTACCTGCTCTTCCCTCTTTGCAAGGCTACAGTGTAAGAGATGGATTTTTCCAGGAGAAGAGAGAAAGAAGAAAGAGGAGAGAATGGAGGTATGGGAAGAGTTAGCAAAATAGAAGGAAGACAGAATGTGAGGTGAATTAGGACTGTGAGGTCTCTGCTACCCCTCCTACAAGAAATGAGGTTGATTGCCCCACTTTAAATTTGTGTGAATACATCACAAGCCAGCCACACAGGGCAGCTTCCAGGAGCAGATCTCAGAAAATGTAGAAAATGTTCTTTCACTCTTGAGATGATCACTTTCAGATCCAGATGTTGTGAGGAGCCCAATCTGTGAAGAAAGTCATGTAAAGGGACATCAAATCACTTTAACTGGTGACTTTGGTTGCATCTCTAATTGCCAGCCTCACAAGTGACTCACTGAGGATATCATGGCTGGGAATAACCTTGATACAGCTTCAAAGGGACTACCAGTTCTTCTACATCAAACCACAGAATGAAAAGGGTTGTAAATGATTACTGTTTAAAGAAATTGTTTTAAATAATCATTGAGGGGTGGGGTTGTCATGGATGGAATTGTGTCCCCAAGATAAGTATATATGATGATATAATGTGGAAGTTCTCTAATGGTCTTTCATAATCTGATAAAACAAATAGTTGCAAAAGGGTTAATGATAGGATACAACACACTTAATCCCATCACAGTCCTGATCTGATATAGGTGGGTTTCCCTAGGGTGTGACATGTGGCATCTTTTTTTTTGTTATGTGCCATCAAGTTGACTAGAACTCAGAGTGACTCTATAAACAGTAGCTTTGAATCCCTCCTCATTTTGAGCCAATCTTACTGTCTCTGATACTCCTGTACCCCATTACCACAATCATTGTGTCAATCCATTTCATCCAGGGTTTTCCTGTCCTGTGCTGTCCCTCTGCCATTCCAAGCATGGTGTCCTTCTCCAAGGACTGGCCCCTCCTGGCAATATGTCCAAAGAAGCATCAAAATCCTTGCCTCCAAGGAAAAAGTTGGTTCATCCTCTCCAAGACAGACCTCTTGGCAGTCCATGATATGTTCAATGTTCTTTTCCAGCATCACAACTCAAAAGCATCAATTCTTTTGTCACCCTTAGTCATTGTTCAGCTTTCAGATGCATAGCAAGTAATTGTGAAAGGGGGGGGGGAAGTGGGAAAGATTATTAAAGGAGTGAGGGACCTAGAAGAGTAGGGAATAGACACTTGATTAATGAAACTCCGTGACAGAGGGAAAGGCCAAGACACATGATGATCTCCAAGGAGTGGTAATCTCCACATCTCCAGATGCTAAAAGGAGATTACAGAGAGAGAAAGTCACCCTCTAGAATCAGCACTGAGTTTGGATCCTGTAAGGAGAGGGAAAGTAGCAAGAGTCTGTTGAATGTGGTGTTTGAGGTCTTGTACAATGCAGGACTGTGAGAATTGTGGCTGCTGTTGAAAGACCCCAAACTAGGGCTTTTCCCAGATTGGGCACCACCCCAAGCAACTCACACCAGATCCACTCGCTGCAATCACAAGAGGCTTTATTGACGAAGCTTTCGGGACGACTTGTATCTCACACAGGAGACAGGGAATTCGACCCCGAGCCACAAAAAGCAAGGGAATTTATACAAGATCCAGGGGTTCTTTGGCGTGGAATTAGCTCATTGGCTCTTTGGAAAAGGAGAAGTTCAATTTTAGGTCAGTTACCTGCTACTGATGTTAGTTAAAATATGGTTTTTGCCAGTAATTGTTTTTTTCAGTTTGTGGTCAGCTAGTTCCTGGAACACAAACATTCACACAAGATCAAAGGTATAGGTTCTTACAATACTTGGGTTTGGGGACATTGTTTAAAAAATTTTCCTTTCAGTGTGACAACACTGGATAACTTGCAAAGTGGGTAATGAATGCCTGGACCACTTAGTGCCAATTTTTAGCTCTGTTGGAAAAATCCTGGAAACCTGACCAGAGATGGAGCCTATTGATTGTTAGGCGATTATTGTTATGTGTCATCTAGTCAGAATCAAGCCATAGCTGACCCTCTGGTGGGTAGTTTTCAGAGGCAGTTAATCACATAAGGGGAGATTGCCCAGCCTTCACCTATGGAGCAGCTGGTGGATTTGAACTGTGCACCTTTTGGCAGAACGTTAAATGATCCCGGAAGTATTAAAAGAAGATGGAAGGAATATACTGAGTCACTGTATCGAAAAGAATTGGAAG